CACCCCCGGCACCGATATCCCCCCAGACCGCATGAGCTCCCCGAGCCATAACATCTCTGCACCCCGACAACAGGACGGACAGATGGAGCAGGAGGACTCACCACGTATGTACCAGGCGATGAAGAAGAGTATGGGATCTATAGAGAGAAGAGAGCCGGGTTCAGCCGCGGGGTGCACAGGGGCTCCCATGGGCTGGACCCCAGCTGGGGACAGACAAGAGCCCCCACACCCCCCCAGCCCAGCAAGGACGGGGGTCCCAGGGCCCACCAGCCCCCACAGCTGCACCCTGCCGCAGGGAGAGCAGCGCAGTAGCAGGGCTTAGGCTTTAGATGCAGCGCCTAAACAAGAGGCTGGGGAACCCCCTCTCATTAGCAGGATTCAGCTAACGGGGAATGGCTTCATTTGGGGGACAGGACAGTCCCCGACCAGCCCCGCTCTTGCTTCAAGGACTGTGGGATACTCACTGAATTAGCACTGCTGGGGTTCGGCCACGGTCTGCCAGCTCCTGGCCCCCTGGGGTCAAAATTAAACAGGGAAAAGAAAAAAAAATGTTGTGTACTTATTTGTACGGTCCCACAAAGCCTGAGTCAGCGGCCAAACATCCCCGGTGCAGGGTTTGCCTTACATGTTAATTCCAGGCATGCCGGGACCTAGGGAGTTGGGTGGAGGTCTCATGCCGCTGCCGTAGTTCTGCAATGATAACCAAGGGTCAGTCTACCGTAACAGGAAGGGAAACCGGAGAAGACAAGAGAAGTGGGGAAAAAAAAACCCAACAAAGAAACAAAAACCCGAGAGGGTTAGTTTGCAAAAATGAGCTTTAAAAAAAAAATATTAGATGATGATGAATGTAGAGGCAATTAGCAATTGGGTTTATAAAAACACCAGGCAGCTGAATATGGAAGGGAGCCAGCTTGAGCCCCAAAGTCCCTGCTGGTCTCTGATACCACACTGGTGGAGGGAAAACAGTCCCCTCCCAGCTCCAGGAGACAAATCTGCCCACAGCCCCCAGGTGCCAACAACAGCCTTTTGGGTTTGTCTTTTTGCGCAGGAGAAAACAGGGGCGGGAAGAGAAAAGAAGGCGTCGCTTGGAAGGTTATTGCTGGAAGGTTATTGCTGCAGCGTGAGGACGGGAAAAGCTGCATGAGCTCCCCCTGAGACGGAGCATCCTCTGCTCCCAGAATCATGGCTGGAGTAGGGAAAACCAAGCCAGGCTTGTCTTCCTGTTGCTTCCCAGCTCTCTGCTACCTCCCCTGGAGTGGGTCTGCAGCCCCAGGGAGCGGGCGAGGGTAGGCAGCCCCTCAGGGCTCCTCTCCTGGCTTATTCCACCCCAGCTTAGCCTCCAGTCTGGACTGGGAGCCTCAGATCTGTGTCCCTCATCTTGTAAAACCAGCTCTAGTACAAAGCCAAGCCCAAGGCAGCGAAGGAAGAGGAATCCCCTGAATGCCGCGCTCCATTTGGTCTGCGCTTTACTCCCTATGCCCTCCGGGTGATGTGCCCGGATTTAGGTCATGCTGCTACTCCTCCCCTTCCACCTTCCCCCCGCGATGCATCTTTTTGGGCTCTATTTCTGCCATTTACAGAAAAAATTGCTAGGGCAGGAGGGGGGCTGGCTGGCTGCTTCCTATTTCGCAGCCCCTCAGAGCACTCCAAGCTGGATTTTAAGTGCAATACTTTGGTGCCATCGATTTTTCCCTGGATGCACCGGAGCACGGTGCTCTGCTGAGGGCATTGCCAAAGTTTGTTTTGAAGAGGCAGAAAAGGGTTTTCCCCGAACAAATTACCAGCAAGTCCTTAATTGATCGAAATTCCTGCCATTTACAGTGAATAGCAGCATCAAATCCCTTGTTTAAAAAAAAGAAAAAGAAGCGCTCAGCGTTTTTAATTGGAGCTGAAAGGCTGGAAAACGAAGCCATCTGAACGATGCTCAGTCAGGGAGGGTGGGAAGGGAACGCAGCTGTGCCGAGTGACCTGGATGCCGGGCTCCGGCAAGACACCGCCAAAACCCAGCGAGCTACAAACCCTCTTCACAGAGGCACCGGCACACCTAATCCTAGCTTCTGCAGAGCTAAACCTGCGACTATTAAAGGGAAAAAGGCAGCGGAGATCGGCTGTAAGGGATGATTCATTGTCCGTGCGTAATAAGTAGCTGTTGTCAGGACGCCGGGATGTCCTGGCTGGGTGCTCTTGCAGCCCTTTGGAATAATTTAAGGAGTATTTGGGAAGGTCCTGATGCAAAGCTTAAAGAAAAAAAAGTCCTGGGCACACAAGGTGTGAGGGGCTGCTGGGTTTAGTTTGATATTTTTGGTGGTTGCCTGTGCTCGTTCCTGGATGGCTGTGGGGAGGCAGCACCCCATGGGTGCCAGATTGGGAAGCCCAGCACTTCCCCAGGGGAAGGCTGCCTTTTAAAAAGCCTCTCCCTAATGTACATACACAGGGAACGGCAGAGTCAAAAATAAAGCTCTGAACATTTCACAACTCCTGCCGGCTCCCAGAGCCGCCACCATCCCACGCGGCACTGAACGCGCGCTCACGGCTTCCAAGTTTCGCGGCGAGCTTTGCAAGTGGGAAGCGAGCAGCCTCCCCCAGGCAAACCGCCACCGCTCTCCTTGGCGCAGGCCACGCTAACAAATGCCATTTTTTTTGGGTGCAATCCTCCAGGAAAGTAGGATTTTAAGCAGAGCAGCAGCACTCAAAGCGTCCCCGGCTTTGCTATTGGAGGGCCTGTCTGTGAACCGATGCTCGTGCAGGCTTTTTATCCCCTGCCCTAAGATGGATCTGGGTGCCCGCAGAGACAGCTGGGCATCCCTGAGCAGCATCTTCAGGCTGGTGTTAAAAAGAGATGACACAACTCCCTCTTTACACAATATTCGCTTATCTCAACAGTCTCCAGGGGAAAAACAAAACAAAACTCCAGCGCACCCGCTTGTCTCTTGACAGACTCTGATCCTCGCGCTACAAACTCGACGTAGGCGACGATGCAGAGAGGATAAACCTCCAACCAAAATATGGTAATCTGGTTTTGAAGTCTTGTAGAAGGAACAAACAGGAGTGAGTCAACAACAAGCCACTCCGTAAAGTGAATCAATGGAAAGACAGCATATATTAACCCAGATCTGCTTAATTTCACGAGTTGACTCCCCTTTCCTGAAACAGAAGCTCAAGCAGGCAGCAGGAAGGGCAGGCAGAGGGGAACCTCACAGAGGAAAGCCTTATTCCCCTGCTAAAAGGATCTTTGCCATTTCTTTTTATTTATTTATTTTTAATGCAAGCCTCCTTTCCCTTTCCTGCTGTTAGGGTCGTAACTATTTCCCAGGCAGGCAGCGTAATGCACTCAAAAGGCCGCTCCGGTGCAGCACTAAGTGCCGTCCCCTTTGACGGAAGGGCAGGAGGGAGGTTGCAATACCCTTAATAAGCTCTGAAGACCTCACTCATGTTAAAAGGAGGGATTTCCAGATGCAAGACTAATGTAAAACGCATTAACGCTAATGGGGGGACTGGGTGGGGGGGAACTCCCAGCCCTTTGAGCCCCAGGAGGTTGTTTCGATGGTGCGCGGCGTTTGCCGAGCTGCAAGATGCTCTTAGGCACTGGGCTTACCTGCGGACCGGGACCCATGGGGCCCATCCCTCGCGGAGGATTCATCCTTTGCATGGGGCCGCCCATGTTAGGGTGCCCTGTTGGGAGGAAAGCAGGGGCATTACATGGCACAGCAGCCACTTTGGGTCCCAAATTAACAGCTAATGAGAAACAGTAACGTTCAACCCTCCTCTGTTGGGTTTACCTTGCTGTCGCGTGGGATCCATCGAATTGGGCAGCAATGGCTGTGTACCGGGAACGGCGCCCGGGGGCTGTGAAAACAAGGGGAGGAAGGTTAAAAAAACCAAATTGCTAAAATACAGCCTACAGAGATTGCTGCATCCTGCATCCCGGGCATCTTCCTACAGCCTCCGGGCATTTGCCTCCCCTTTCCTTTTGCAAACACCCTCTAAAACCCAAACAAAGAGCCAGCATTTCCTCCTCTCCCCGCAGCCCATGCGCTGTCAGGCTGCCGTATTTCAGGGGAGCGGGGGAAAGCCCGGGCTGCACGGGGCAGAGGCATCAAAGCCAGCAGGGAAAGGAGATGAGCAGTGCGGCTGCCCGGTACTGACACAGAGCCAGGGCCAAAGCGTACAGGTTGCAGCGATTCATCGGCTGCCGACAGGGAGGTGCTCCATTTGCAGCAGACCCGTATTCAGACCTGTCCCCACACAGGCAGGAAGGGAAGGTGGGTGCTCCCCCTCCCCAAACCCAGCTCTGCTCGGGCAACGTGACTATTTAAAGTTCAAAGGCTGCTCTGAACAGATAAAGGGGGAGAAAAATACAGATACCATCTGCCTGGGGGAAGCAAACTGTAAACAGTTTTGCTACAGCGCTGCCTTTTATTTGAATACCGACACAGACAGATCCCACTGATGGAGCACAGCGTAGGCACCAGGTGTGCATGGCTGCACCGAGGCCGAATCTGCCCAGTCCCAATTTTTTTTGCAGCTTGGAAAATGGCAGCAAGAGGAAGATAAACCAGGGGAGTTGTAGCAATGGATATTTACACTTCTGCCGCCTGACCTTCCTGCCTGCCTATTTATTCCTCTTGTCCCTCTGGATGTGACCATAACCTCGCCGAGCTCTGGGTAGGTACAAACCTGTGTTTTATATGTGGTGTTTGGGAGGAAAAAAAAAAAAATCTTTCTAATTAATTTTACCCACTGCTGGATGCTCAACCCTGTTGTAAAAGCAGCCACCCCAAACCGGTCACCTGCCTCTCCTGCCACCCCAAACCGGTCACCTGCCTCTCCTGCTTGCCCCAGCTCACCGTGCTCACATCCAGAGGCGCTCGGGGCCAGCCTGGGGACCACAGCAGGACGGGGGCCCGTTAAAACTGTCCCACGAGAGGTTGCCATTAATTAATACCTTGCTAAACCAGCCACCAGTGCCCTGAGTGGGAGGCTCTTCAGGCCCAGCCGGGCTTGGGAGTCCTACATCAGCCCCCCGTGAGTTTCTCTCAGGTACATCTCAGCTGTCTCACCATCATTTTGCAAGTTCCAGCGACTCAAGTCTCAAATCCAGCAAGCACAAACACGAAGCAAGCTGCTACATCCTATTTCCTGACTATTCTGCTCTTTCTGCTAATAAGAGCTATATAAAAATAATGTTGTTAGCCAAAAACCAAGCTCCCAAGACAATTTGTGCACAGTCACCTTTGCTATCAAAGGAATTACAGGTTTCCTTTAATGTCCCTTTAATGACAAGTGACCTCTGGTTCGGTCATTACCCTATGGATCTGCACGGCATCATTGGGAACGAGATGAATTCCTCAACCAAAGGCCACGCGTTCAGGCAACGCGTGGGGTGGAAGCCTCCATCCCTAAGGCCAGAAACAAACTGCCCTTGTTTAAGCTGGGATAAGAGGATAAACCCAACCCAAAAAATTCAGCAGTGACCTGCCCCGCTTGACCCCGCTGCTGATCTAAGCGTTCAGTCAACCCAGCAGCAGGATTATCTCCATCACTTTAATTTTCTGCGATTGCAGGGAAAATCCAGCTGGGCAGCGAGGCTGTGCGCATGACACAGCCGAGCTGAAAACACCACAAATAAAAAGCGGCACATGCCCCACTGCCATTTACACCTCGGATATGCCCGAACCTCAAAAAAAAAAAAAAAAAAAAAAAAGTTATGTGACAATGTGACACTTGATGCTCCAGCACCAAGAAGACGGAGGATGCCCGAGGGAGGTGATGCCTCCCATCCAAACCCAAGGAGCGTCTGCAGGACACCTTGCCCTTGTTCCCCTCCCCAAATAACAGCCATCCCCAGGAAATGCACTGGCATGGAGCCCAGGAGCACAGTACCTGGTTGCCCATCCTGATGGGGGGCCGGGGACCTCCGGCGTAGCGCGGCGACATGAACGGCTGCGGGGACACAAAAGCAAGGTCAGGGCCGAGCTGCAGGGAGGCAGCACGCTCCCCACGCACGCCGGTTAGACTGTACACACTGTTTTTGGTTTTTTTTCTGGAGACATCCTTTTTAAAAAAGTTAAGTTTCAAAAGAAAAAAAAAAAAAAAAAAGGTGTCCGGAGTCCATTTTTTAAACATTTTCCCTGTAGATTTATTGTTTGAGAGCGTTTGACATCAGCAATACTAGGTGAGGCTGTTAAAGTTAGTGCATGGGAAACCCTGAGTGTTAGATACTGTTCAAGTTTAAATATATAGAGATATATTAAAAAAAGTGGCACATAAGCACATACAGACACGCACACACAAAAAAAACCCCAATGCTAAGTACTGAAAAAAAAAGAAGAAAGGCTTAAAGTTACTTTTTTTACAACTGCTGCTACTAACAGAAGCTTAAAAACCCACATCAAGTTAAATTTCTCAGGCTACCTTGGGAAGGTAAAACAGTCTAATACCCATGATTGACTTCTCAGTCCATTGACAACTGCACATCAAAAAAAAAAAAAAAAAAAAAAAAAAAGGAAAAAAAAAAAAGAGGGGAAAAAACCAGTATTTTGCTTTGGAGCTGGGATGCCCGGGGGGATGCTCCCCGGGGGAGCGGGTACCCGCTGCCCAGCATGCTTATAGAGGGGGAAAAAAAAAAGCAAATCGAGCGCACGTCCCGGTTCACAGCCCTACCCATCGCTAGTGTCTTTACCTGACTGTGGGGTCCCATCATGCTGTTAGGATTGTGGGGTGGAGGCTGTGCGTGTGGCGAGGGCTGTGACCCAGGCGGTCCCTGTGAGGTCAGACAGTAGAAGGAGGTTATAGATTAGCACATGAAAGCGCAGAAAGAGCTAAAAAAAGGATTGACGGGTGGACCTGTTTTGTCGGGAAGTCAGTTCTCCCGTTTTTAAATTTGTTTTCTTTTTTTCCTCTTTTTAATTGAGTTTCTATTAATTTGTAGCTGAACAATGAATAATGATATATGCAAAAAAAAAAAAAAAAAAAATAAAAAATCAGAACATCTGAAAAAATACACCAGCCACATTGACGGTAAATGGTCCGGTAGTTCAACCAAGTCTGCAATGATAAACACACAGGGAAACACTTTGCAAGGGCGTGCAACGAGGAAGAAAAAATATGCAGGAGAGGACCAGAGAGGTTGGGGGAAATAGAAAAAATACCCCCAAACAAAAAAAAAAAATAATAAAAAAAAATCATATTTTCCTCTCTCATCCCAAAGGTTGGAGACACCTCTGGGGTTTTGGGTTTTTTTTTTTTTGACCGTGGTTCACTGGAGGTGCTGGAGCGAGTGCAGAGGACGAGGAGCACGTCCCAGCTCGCGCCTGGCAGCGTTTGGCCGGCGCAACCGGGGCTGCATCGCCAGACTGTACGGATGCAACATCCTTCCTCGAGGTGGATTCCCTAAGGATGCGAGTAAAATGGCTTGCGAGCAAAGAAAGGATGTCTAGGGGAAAAAAGGAGAGATTAGTTGGTGCAGGTTTAAGGCTGCAATGCAGCAGCTGCTGACATTTTGGGCTTGAACGCCCACTTTTTTTTTTTTTTTTTAAATTTCCCTTAAAAGCACAAAATGAAAATTTACTTGGAAAAACCGCGAGCTTGGTGCAAGAATATACCGGTGTGTGTTAACTTAAGGAAAAATAAAAAAGTATCTTTTGAGTCAAAGGAGGTGTAATTGGTAGAGAAAGCAAACGAGCTTTGTCAGTAGGTGATGGGAAGCAACGGCAGGCTCCAGGACCGGCGCCGGAGCAGATGTTCTCTACCTGCCTCGTTACTAATTTCAACAAGTGTTCGCCTTCTAGCTGCTGCCAGCAATGGCATGGTTTGTTACCATGAGCAATTTTCTTAATTAACAGACATTAATTAGCCATTTAGCAATTTTGCAAGCATTTGTTTAGCAGCTTTCCTAAACATGAATACCACTGTGATAATGGTACTGATTAGAGGGTCCCCTAATTAACAGTACAGGGAAGGAAAATTGAAATCACATAAATTAAAAAGGGAGGGGAAGTTAATGAAGGCAGGACATATTTGCACCTGCAAATCTTTTGTACGGCGGAAACTTGAGTGCAATGTAAATAAAGTAAGAGGGTGGGTTTTTTTTCCTCTTTTTTTTTTTTTTTTTTGTGTGTGTGTGTGTGTGTGTGCGTGCTCACTTTTACTATAAACCAACAGCCTCCTGCCAGCCTCCCTGCTCCAGCCGCTGTGTCCATGGAAATGAAGTCCCCACCATTTACACCACCATTTATTCTCCAGGAGCCAAAAGCAACCAAGCCCTGCCCCTCCTGCCTGGCAAACTTTGGCTGGAAGAGGTCACAGCACCTCAGGACAACCCTCTCAGTGCCAACACAACTGCCTTCTCCATCCACGTCCCACCACAGTCAAGAAGACAAACCTCTGTGGTCCAGCTGTAGCATCAACCACCTTTAGCAAAGTCACCTCCGTGCACGAAACTTGACTTATTTTTGCTTCTGAGGTGGCTAACTCTGTGTGAATGCAAACCACGCTGGGGGCAGCAGCCACCTCCCACCACCGGTTCACGGAGGATGGCAGCCCTCGACGAGGTCTGGCCACCACCAAAGCCCTTCCTACACATCACAGCTGCAGGTTTTGGGGTAGGGAAGATTGGCAAAGGTGAACAAGCAATGAAACCAAGCGGAAAGGACAAACCAGGACTCACAGAGGCCAACCCTCAAGTCCCGTCAACACAAGAGTCAACAGGTCCTCCACAACGCCTGCCTTGCTGCGCCGCAAGGAAGAGGTCGTTGTTATCCAGGTACTGACTGGACAGGCATGCAGACCCCATCCTAAAGTTACTGAACCCCTGATGTCCTCCCTCTCGTATCCCCTGGCATGTGAGGGTGTGGGGTTAACAGGTATTGAACGCCCAGGGGACATGGCTGCCTACACACACCCCATCTGGGCCCAGAGGCGAGGCTTTGGGGCTGCATTTAAAGTCTTCAGAGCAAGCACATTTGGTTATCGTGGAAAAAGCATCTACAAAAGACACAGCAGCGTTTTCACTGGAGAAAAATCCCCCATGGCAATCAGATCTGGAGAGCATCAGTTGTTTGTGCTGCTGAAAGGCATCCTCCGGAGCGTGGTCCTGCCCCGCCGCCCCAAGGCTGCTCCCCGGGATGCTCCAGGCTCAGCGCTGCGCTTTGCCGGCCAGCGAGCAGCATCCTCGCCGTCGCGTTATCCCGCGTGGTACCGCTCCCGGTGGAGACTTCTGGATAATGTGACTGCAGACGCCCAGCTTGTGCAAATGTCTTGGCAGGCAAGGAGGAGCCAAAAGGGGCTTTTTTATTTTTTTCTTCATTCTTTTCTTCTTTTTCACAACAGCAACGAGCGGCAGCATCCGAAATTCTCGCTCCAGGCTGCAACTGCCACAGCCCCCTCCCGCGCCCCCGCGGCACGGCTGCGCTGCTCTGTCAGAAACGCAGACCCTCTGGATATTGTTATCTCCGTAAATATTTGCAGATGTTTCAGGGCCGGGACCTGTGCTCGGCGGGAACGCCTGCCGGATCGGTTGCTTTTTTGCATGGGTTTCCCTCACTGCAGAGGCGGCGGCAGATGATCCCGATGGACGATGGCGGTTGAGACAAGTGTTTTGCAGAGATGACATGTGGGCTCCAACCAACAGAACAACCCTTTTTTCTTAAAAAATGTGTATTTAGCAGTTATTAACTAGTGCTGTTACAAGAGGAGGCTGAACGCACGCACAGTCCTGCTTCCTCCACACCACCTCCCTCCAGATCCCAAATGCCCAAGCGCTGCATCCCCTCAGCAGAGCTCCATCCGACGCGCCGTGCCGGGTGAGCAGGACCTGCTCTGCAGTTAATTCACTCTCATCTCAAGACCAGCACTCTCCCCAACCAGAGAAACCCTGTTATCTCTTGAGTTCTCTTTTTTTTTTTTCTATTTTTCTTTCCAAACTGGATGCCTTGCATGGGGGGTTACTCTCCACCTCCCTGTAGCTGCCTAAAAAAAACCCCAACAAACAACCCCAAACAGCTAAAATGGCGTTAGAGGAAACTGTTTCCGACAGCTCTCGGTGCCCCAACCTCCTCTCTGCTTCGTTTGTTTCTCTCCTCTACACTACGGGGACTTTAAAAGCCCAACCTGGCCCGTCAGATGGCCGAAGTTTGCTGCTGCTTTCTACAGGGAGTTTCCAGGCGATCAGGTTATTTCCACTCCGTCTTTCACAAGCTCGACTCCTCAAACTTCTTGTAAAATATTAAAGATGGAAAATGGCACGAGCGATCATAGCTCTGCGTGTGTCAATTTATGTTTCCAGCGTAATTCACCACAAATGGATCATGTTTTATGGGCTACATACTTTCAGCTAATGGGGGAGTTTTTCTATTTAAAAACATTTTCAAGCACCTCTGGGGGTGGCAGAACAATGCAGGATGGTACGAGAAGGCAAGGCATCGCTGCCATGAGATACCAACAATTTAGAGTTAGCAACAGGAAGGCATCTTGTATTTTAAAATACCTGCCCCTACCTACTGGTTTTGACATTAGAAAATACTAAAATAAATCAGATGGATTTTAATTAAAGACGTGCCTGGGTTTATTGGATAGGAACTGTATTCCTACTGAAGGAGAGGGAAGTTTTGCAAGTTGTCAAGAAAAAAAATAAGATATCCCTGAAGGAGCCTTTAGGAGAGATGTTCCAGCTGCCCGCGGAGAGGAGGACCACGGCTGCCTTCCAGCATGTGGTGCCGGGTGAGGACTCAACCGCACCTTCCCGAGAGAAGGCAAGGCAGGGCAAGGCAAGGCAAGGCAGGGCAAGGCAAGGCAAGGCAAGGCAAAGCAAGGCAAGGCAAGGCAAAGCAAGGCAAGGCAAGGCAAGGCAAGGTGGGCCAAGTTCCCCTGCAGACGGCGGAAGGCAGCCGTGGGCAGGAGCTCTGCCTCGCCTGCAGCTGGGGCTCCCAACTGCAGAAGCCTGGTTTTAAGGAATATGTTAAACACAAGCTCTTCAGGAAACAAACCCATGTCAGCTGGAGCCAAGAACAGTCACCTCCATCTGGCTGGAGCACCCGAGAGAAAGTTGACTGCAAATCCCACCATATGCTCCAGACGCTCGGTACAAAAGCCTCGGGCATCCTACTGAACTTCCAGAAAAAAAACTTTCTCCAATGCTTGCCTTTCCCTTCCTCCAGCTCGTAAGCCACCTTCCTTCAAACCCTGCCTGGTGCAAGCCTGACACCGAGCTCTGCCCCGGGATTTTGGGAAGGGCAGCCTGGATTTGAGGCTCTTGTGCCACCTTGCCGGAGCCAGCTGACCACAGCTGGTGGCACCCATGGAGTGGGGGCAAATCCCACCGAGACGTCAGGACAGCCGAGCAGGGGGATAACGGTGGCATCCAAGGAGGGAGCAGGACAACACGGACCCCTTCCTATTGCCCCCAGCTTTACCATCCTCACCCCCATGAGTGACCTTACCCAAAGAGACCCATCCCAGGACGCAAGGAGGAGAGGCGCAGAGGGCAGGGGGTGTCAGGGGGAGCTCCGGAGCCCCCCCCCCCACCCCATCCTCCCCAGCTCCCGAGGTCTCTCTGCATTAGGGGGCAGTGTGGGAACACCGAGCAGCCGGCGCTTTGTTTTGGTGCATCTCGGTGCCGAGCTGCTGATGCATAGCTAACGCAGCCGCCGACATTGATTTATGGTCAACTTTCCATTTCATCAGCGTGCGGGGTACGGGGTGGCGCAGGGAGTTCGCAATGGGGAGAGGAGGCATGGCCACGGCGGGGGGTGCTGACTGGGTCCCCTTCCGTTTATTTAGTGGTAGGAAGGTGTGGTATTAATTGCTTTCAATTTTTAATTTTCCTTTCTACATTTCCCTGGCACCCCCCTGTCCCTCCTTTGAGGGATCTGCACCCCGGCAGCAATCCAGCTTTCAAAACAAAAGCAGGAACGCCTCTGATGACCTTTACGAGGATGAGCAGAGGGTTTGTTTGCTCATCTCAAAGGGACAAAGAGAGAGATTTAAATAAAAGCATCTACCCATGCCAGCAATCAACCCGGCCACCTTTTGTCCAGAGCACAGCCCAATGCTGTGCCACCGGCTGGCACCATGCAATGCCCTGGCAACCCAAGGGCACCCAGGGCTTCTCCTTCCCCATCGTTTTGGGAAGGTTTTGGGAGATTCTGCAGGCTGAATTTCCCTTGGCCCCCAGCCCAAAGGTCACTGCTGAGCCCCAGTGCAGGGAAGGGACTCTCCCTGTAAGACGGCAGCTGCAGACGGGCACTGCAGCCTGGGCTCCTCCTCTCTTCTCCCCTTCCTGGCGCATCACTTCTCCTCCAAGCTCGCTCCAGTGGGATTTTGGGCCACTAGCTCCCAGGAACGGTCTGTATCATTTTTTCCCGTTGCCAAACAGCGGCGCACATCTGAACGAGCGGGGCTGGAGGGATTCATGCACACCCAGGGTGGCAGCACAGGGTTTCTGCAGACTGAGCTTTGCTGGTGACTCCCTTCTCAGCTCCTGGCGCAATGCTCCACCGTACCAGGACAGGATCAGGCCCTCTAAAACCTCTCAAAACCCCATGCCTGCTATACTCGGGCACATCCCTGCAGGTCCCTAGAGTCTGCAGTATGGTGCAGAAGAGCGAGATGCTGAAACCCCTAAGCCCTCTCCATCCTCCAGCCTCCTGGCTCAGGGAAGGCGCTGGCTGGGGTGGTACCACCAGGAACCTCCGCCACTCGCATGGCTGGCACGCCAAGGGTCAGGGAGTTTGCACCTCCTGTGACCTTTTTGGTTTTGCCCTCTTTAAGTTCAGCAGTTTAATTTCCTACAGAGATAAGAAATTACCCCCAAGCTGCGACCAGCTCACTGCTGAGCCACCAGCTCACCTCTGCAAGAGCTTGTCTCCAGCACCTCCTGAAGCTGGAATGAGCTCCAGCACCCGCAATAAATCAGACGGGCTTTCACAGGGGTGATGTTCAGACTGTGTTAAAAGGTGGGATTTTTCTTCTCCCCTCCTCCCCTCCATCCCCAGGGCTGGGAGGAGAAACCAGATGTTGGAAGGCTTTCAGGAAAGGCAGGCTCTTGAGATGTCACATGCAAGCCATATGCATCGGCACCCATCCTCTCTTCCCTCCGGCAGCTGTGGGGATGGGCAGCATCCCCGCGCATCACACCTGCACCAGTGCCATTACTTCTGCTGGGTTTTCAGGACCCTCCACCAAAGCTCCTAAGAAACCAGGGCTGCTTTTGAGCCCTGCTTCCCCAGCGGCTCCTGGTCCAGCTGCATGAGATGTAGGGAACTAGGATGGGTTGTTTGCTCCTGAATCAGACTCTCAGTGCAAAAAATGCTATGGGAGAGCAGAAAGGAAAGCAGGGGGGACAGCTTGGAGGCTGTCAACGGGAAGAGTCGAGACGGGAGCATGCACAGCACGTCTGGGGAGATGCAACTCCTCTTCCTCACCTTCCCCTTTCACAGAAAGCCAACCCATACTCTTGAAGCTTTGCCCTAACTTTGCGCCAGTTTTGCAGCTCTGGCAGCTCTGCGTGAAGCAGGAGCCCCAAAGGACAGTCAGCTTCACTGTGGGGCGAGATCAGGACTTTTGGAGACACATTCGTTGGAAGCAGCAGCTTGACATTCGAATTGCTGGCAGCAGCTATGACCTGTGAGATCGCATCTCTGCTGTTGGCTTCACCCCATGCCACCGAGCGCTGCTACAAGATTCGCCTGTTTTAGGGTTCCCGATCAATATCGGATATTCTTACTTTGTCAGAAGCATGTTCAGGAAATGGGATCTCTCTAAAACAAACCAGACAGGACCCTCCTTCCCCCTTCCCATACACACGCAAACGGTGATATCGGGCTCAGATATCACCACAATAAATCACGAGCGCCTTATCGAGTCTGCCCGTCTACTGCCCGAGAAGTTCTCCCATATACAAATCACAAGTCCAGATAAAAAAACCCCAGCTTGCCAAAACAAATATTCCTTTCAACTCTTATCCCATTTGTTACACGAACAAGTGTTTCTTCCTCAGGAAGGAAGATTTTAATGCACCGAGAGCTTATGCCACTGCAAACCAGTGCAGCTCATGCCGTGCAAAGAGATTCCAGAGAAATAAAAAAAAACCCCCATGGCTCAAGTTTTGAAAACTCCTTTTCTGTGTGCTTGTCGAGATCCCTTCCATCAGTGTCACTTCAAACATACGTTACCCCCTCCCTGGTCAGAGCTCGGCGCGGGAGAAGGAAGGAGCGAGGGGACTTTCCTAGGTATTTGCTTACAAGGTGCCTCCATGGCATGCGGGGACTTGGCTGGAGCTGGCTCCTGCCTGCAGCCGCAGCCAGCATTTGTTAATGCTTTCAGTGATTGCATTTGGAAAAAATCAAGTGGTTAACCAGAGAGGGGGGGAAGTTTCAGGAATCAAGATCCAGAATGTTTTCAATTATGCACGTCTGTTAGGACCGGAGAGCAAATACAATCCCAACCCAAACACAAACCAAGCAGCTTTGGAAAAAAACATTGGTTGTAAATACACAGTAACCTCTTCGAGCAAGAAAGAAATTTGCTTTAAGGCCACAAAAAATAGAAAGCAAACGTGGAAGGACAGCAGAACATGAGTTATTCCTAGACAGGTCAGCTACGCAGGCATGCTGCTTCCCTAGCATCCCCTTGGAAAAAAAACACAGGCACGACAGCGCTGACACCCAGAGCGTAAGCAAACACGTGCGCGGTGTGGAGACGAGCATCGGGGGAAGCAGCAGCCTACCTGGAAGAAACCGGGCGGGATGGGGCCCCCAGGCATCCCGTCGTTCGGGGGAATGTTTCCAAGCACGGGACTTGGGGCGGCAGCTGCGCTCTGTGGGGAACAAAACCAGGACAAACACGGTGGGTTAGAGTTGGAGTTAAGAAAAAAACACATTAAAAAAGCCGTCTCCCCTGCCATGCCACATTGAGTCAATTAGTGCGTTACCTCCAGAGCCCTGAGCACCGCCCCCCATGCTCTGAGCATCTTCCCCCTGCGGGGGAACAAGCAGAGGATGCTCGGAGCCGGAGGGGCACCGGCCTCTGCAATTTGCCCACGGAGAAGATGGCCACGCAAAAAGCGGGGATAATTCTGGGGCTTATTTATTCATTTACCCAGGCACTTAGTCTCATTAATCCACCAAGGAGCCTCATCCACCGTGGCGCTTCAGGCAGAAGCTGTTTTGAGGCTTTTTAAATGCTTTTCTTACCCCACCTCCCCCTGTGCACTTGCCAGTTCAGTTCTGTCCTCCCAAAATGATGCTTCCCTGGCCTAACCAGCATCCTAAGGTTTTATTATGAATTTCCAAATTCACCACACCCAATCTGTGGGGTCACGCTCTTGCTTGCACCTCCCCAGGATGAGCCACCTGAGCGGCTCCAGCCCCGACAGGAGGGACGGGGGCAGACACGGCGTACCCGGACACCCTGCTTGCTCCTGCTCAGCATCTCTATTCATATTTACTTTCTCACTGTGCTGCGGAGCTGGCAGTGCTGGGAAAGCACCAGCGTGATGGGAGGCTCCTACCCAGAAGGAAAATGCTAAGAAAAAGATCTTTCCCTAAAAAAAAGGGCAACATGTCCCTGCCGGGTTAGGAGCGGTACCTGTGTTGTTGAAGTGCACTCTTGTTTACCCATCACCAAACCAACCCCCATTCCCAGGGCAGTTACAAGGGAGGCTCAGTGATATTAACTGGTTTTGGATCACTGAACTACTCCCTCCACAAATTTTTATGATGGACTTACCCACCTAAAACCATATGGCAAGGCCAAGGAGAATTGTCCACCATGAAAAAAATCAGTGGAAAAATTTTCCACCAAGGAAACCCTACAGGCAGACGGGGTACATGTGAGCCTGCTCAGGCTTGGAGCACCCCGACCCCACCAAACCCTGTGTCCCAACAGCAGCCGAGCCAGCCCCGGCCCCTGACTGCATCCGATGCAGCAACGACCGCACGCGGCTAACCGCTGCCTTGCGCCTTCCCGGGGGCCATCTCTTGTGCCCCCTCCATCACGCTCTCCGGCAGGAGCCAGCCTGCAGGATGCAGGATGAAGGCCAGGACCACACCAGTCCAGTGGTTGCTTTTCCCACCCCAGCATCTCAGAGCTGCAAGCGCCAGAGATGACAGTGCAAGCCGATTCCCCAGAAAGAGACCCCCTTGGCAAAATAACCGGGGTACCCCTGTGGCTACGGGGTACTGCACCCCCAGGCGCAGCCCATGCCATGCTCCTGCTGTTCCCCTGAACAAGGCATCCCGAGCAGCCTTCCTCACATCAACAGCAAAGGCCAGATCTGAGTGTTTTTACAGTTAATAAAAAAAAGTCCTGGCAGGAAAAATAAGCCTGCCCATTCCAGGCTCTTTTTATACATCAGACGGCAGCAAAAATAGACGGGAGAGGGAGTGAACCCAGTTCTCCCCCTCCCTCCATCCCCCCAAATGGGTCAGCTATAAAAGTAAAACCAAATCTTAATCCAAGGCCATGAACATATTGCAGTTTCTCTGCAAAGCAGATGACGGTTCTTAATGCAAAAATATATAAGACCGAGCCCCAAACTGCAGTGAGCCCATTTGGAATTTCCTTTATTAAACCCTCTATCACGCAAAACGCTTCTCTCCCAAGGCGGCGAGCGCTGCAATAAAGCTGCCAAGGTGATATTTTATGGTTTCAAGAGATTTCCAGCACACCATAATCCTTTGCTGGGGGAATCTCCCAAAGCGAAATGGATCCCGAAGCAGTGGGGAGTGAGGATGGACATGTATTTGGGAATCCAGGGTTGAAGTACGCTGCCCTCCTCCTTTCCTCTGCAACAGGGAGTGGAGGGGGGAGGGCAAAGCAGCTAAAGAAAATCTTGAAGCAAAATGCCCATTTTTCCACAAAACCACAAAGTATTTTTCTGCGCTAAACACCCCAAAACCTCACCTATGCCTCTGCGGCATAAACGGGGATTTAAAGTTCCTTGCACATGTGGCGCTTGGCAGAACTCGGTAATTAAAAACCCACAAGTGCCCTGAGCATATTGTAGGATGGGAGCCAAATTGGTCAGCCCTTGATGAATGATTTACAAGGCTGCGAAGTGACATTTTATTTCTTTTTTATTCCCCTCCCCATCACTGCTGCTAAGGTAAACACAGAGGCACCTTTAGCCCTGCCGAAGCGATGGGAGCGCAGCCGCAGCTGGAGCAGCTCTGCAAAACCCTGGGGATGTGCCAGAAAAGGAAGAAAAAGGGGAAAAAAAGACAGTGGGAACAAATGTACTAAACCCTAAGGGTAAGCACCCAAACCCCAAGGGCTTTCCAGCACCGTCTTCCAGAAAACCAAGAATTTTTGCGCTCCCAGCTCCCCGTCTCCAGCTTAATTTCACCATTTTGGTTAAGAAACTCTTTTTAGGGACTCCAGAGATTTGGGCTGGAGTTTGGCTGCCAAGCCCCTTTCACCTGGCTCTAAGTGTCCCCAAGCCCCCCCCAGCGCAGGTACAGGCAAGGCAGAGATGCCGAAGGGGCAGGCAGGAGACGGGCAGCGCCAGCGCGGTGCGGAAGCACGAAGCCTGCTGTGCCACTGTGTCCAAGCTGGTGCTAAACCAAAAGCACGTCCAGCCACACGAAGGTCCCCGTTGGCACGCAACGCCCCAAACTTCCTTCCACCAAAGCACACCGGGGACCGCTGCCGGAGATGAGCAAGGACAGTTCCGGCACAGCCAGCATGCTGGCTCGTTTGCCTTTTATTAGATGGTAAATTTGCTCCATGCTGGAAACAAAATGCAGTTCCTGGGGCACACATATATAGATATATACACACATATACATACATTTTTTTTTTTTTTTTCCCCCACGCACGTTGGATTTTTCCCCTGTCTTGGCGGAAGCAAGCGGAGCGATGACAATCTGGATCACTGCATTTCGCTTCCAAATCGAAGCTCTCAGTTAACACACCGGCTTGGTACGCCAGCAGATGCCGTCTAAGCCTTTAAATCGCACACTAATTGCACTAATTGAGCTAACAGTCTCTGTTTCGTCTCCCTACCCTGAGTCAACCAGCGTCTTCTGGTACTGCTGTAGAGATCCAAGCTGTTGACTGTAGTGTTATTTTGTCAGCCATTAAACGATTCATCAGAGTCATTAATTGATTTATTACCGCTGCCTGCGAGTATAGCTTTGCAAATAAAGAAGGATGGAGGTCAGGAGGCAATGGAAATCGGACAAAACAGCACAGCCAGGAGCTGGGCACTTGAATTATTGGTAGGAGCCTGCTCGCACAGGACCACTGGCATCAGGTTATGGGGGAAAAACGGGGGGAAAAAAAAGAGAAAAGATGCGCCGTTTGGCTGTGCTGCCAAACCAGTTAGGTTTTTCAGCTAAAATCTATGTAGGATGTAAAAGGGCTATTAAAACCGTCTTGTTTTCTTAACCTAATCCTTAGGAAGAAACCAGGTTATTCCGCTGTATTAACTGTGTTTAAGAGCGGCAGGGAAGAGGCACCAGCGCGGCTGCACCGAGCACCTCCCCGGCCCCTGGAGCAGCCCGAACATCCCGAGCTGCCCTGCCAGCATTTTGGTGTCACCCGAATTTGCTTTCCCAGGCTGGCTGAGCTGGGAACACAACTCACCTCCACTCATCCCACAGCCCTGGGAGGAGCTGCAGACCGGTGCTTTTATTTATTTACTTTGTTTAATACAGAGTTTAGGTCTTTGCTAGGCATGAAGGTTTGCTGAGAGCAGGGTGCGGCGAGCCGCTTCCTGCCCCCCGCCCTGCGAAAAAAATGTGAGGCACCACGGAGGCCAAGAAGGTTTCGGGGGCTAAATTCAAAAACCAGAGCAGCCAGCGCAGAGCTGGTGGGCTGAAATCACCACCAGCAGCAGCACGCCGCTGCCCACTGCCCCCAGCCTCCAGCCCCAGGGTACCCCTGGTAATAAAAGGCAGCACCCAGCAAGGGAAGGTTTGGGAAGCTGGGGAGCTTTCCAGATGCGCTGTCCGCACGACAGCCCTTGGGTTGCTGCAACAGGATTCTTCCTCCTCACCCCCATTGCAGGACAACCCTGAGCCGCCTCCAAAAGCATCTCGAAGATGGCACCGCACGCCGACGCATCCCATCCTGCAAGGCTCCCAACATCACAGCGAGACGATTCCCTGCGGGGCGGCAGGGCATCAGCCGAGTCCCAGCTTGCCACCCATCCAAACCTGCCACGCCTCACCAAAGCAAGTGATGGTTTCTATTAACTATCAAAAACAGGTTCCCATCAGCGGTATTTACTCTGCCGTTAAATGCACGCTGGTGTCCCCACCGCACGCTCCGGGTGAGCAGCTTCGGGTCGCACAGGCAGCTGCGCAGCTCGCCCCAGCATCCCGCAGCTGGCTTTCACCAAACGCTTTTTTTGTATAAAAATAACCTCCAAACAGTGGTGCAAGGCGCTGGCAGGCAGCAGAGAGGATGCTTCCTTCGTGGGAAGCACCATGAGCAGCGGCTGGGCCGAAGCTTCCATCAACCCGGCAGAGAGATGGGGAGAGCAAAAATACCTTCATGGCACAGACCTAAAACCAAACTAAGGATGGCCAGACATTTGCTTTTTTGGCTCAAGATGTTTTTGCCCTCGCTCTTCTCTCCAGAAGAGCGGACTGGAGGATTTTGGCTGCATCGCATACCTCGCAGCCACAGTGGGAGCAGCACAAGGCACTCGAGGGCAGCTGCCTCTGGTACGAGAGTGCAGGGATGCTCAGGACACGTTGGTGATCTGGTATCTATCTGTCTGCTTCAATTTTATTTTTTTTTGCCTAGAGCACAGGCTTTGGAGCCTAAGGAAGAAATCAGTGTGCAGGTAAGAACTTAAGCAGGCTGCGT